ATAATATTTTCTATTCTTCAAGTAGAGATACATAAGTTATAATTTACAACTTTGTTATGCATTGGTGTTACATAAATGCATCTGTAACTGAATGTTAAAAAATGTGGTTCCATGTATGGCATGATGAGTAAAGGTTATAATTGTGTAGTCAAAGTTTATTCGTTAATTTTGCTTTTAGAGGAAAATCGATATCTTTGGGCCCCTCGGTGATTTGATGTTGACATTATAGTGTTTGGCACGGGTTGGACAAAATTGATGTGTTCAATTCGTAGTCTAATAAGGTCATCATAAATCGAAATTCATGAAACAGAATGTTAGACTATGAGATTGATTTGTATCCATATCTTGTGTCCATATGATATCTTGTAGAACGAAATAATAATCGATCACTTATATTAGGTCCAACATCTGATAAGATTCAGAGTTCGGTTGTGGCTTTGGAAAGCACACTTTGTTGGTTATTCGAAGTCTATATTTGCACAAGTTGAATTGTAATTATTCTTTTATTTAGCAAGGAAGACAATTCTAGAACCCTTCTGGAAGCCTCCTGGCAACTAACAAGGATAACTGCTTTGAATAGATCAAATCTTAATATTTAATTATTCAAATTAGGGTTTATCTTGGAGATCCATCATCTATAAATAGGGACCCTTAGCAATTCATTTTCGAACCCTAGCATTGACAAGGAAAGAATTCGATTTTGCTTCTCTTCCTTCTCACTCCTATTTCGTTCCTAGTGCTCTAGGGTATTGGGTGTAAGCCATTAGAGGCATCCACATTATTGGTGCTTGCTTTCCAAGGAAGAATTAAATATCCAAGGGTTTATTCAAGTGATGAAATTGTTTTTACATAAGTACTCTTTAAGCTTGTATTAATCCTTCATTAAGTTAGATTAGTGATTAATTGAAGAGATAACAAGAATTTGGAAAATGTACAAGTAATTGATGCACAATATGAAAAATACAACTTGTGTGATTATGGATTATGAGATATTAAGTTATAATTTTGATGTGATTATTGAACAATTAGTGGAAATTAACAAGTTTCATGATGGATTAACATGATATTAGAATTATACCGTTAATGAATGTTTAACATAAAGAAGTAAGGTCATGTTAGGTATAGAGAACTAAGGGTAGAGAAATGTTCCACTTCTCTTGTTTGGTAAGTATTTAAAAAGGAGAGAAAGAGAAATAATTTAGTTACAATTCCACCCATTAAGTTCTCCATTTTTTTTATAAAGAAATGGGTAGAAAAGAAAATACTAGATGTGCTCCCGATTTTTCATCCATTATTTTTTCATCATCTGAGAAACCGATTTCTTCACAACTACTTCTGGATTTCACAGCTTCGAGAGAGATAGATGGCTTCAATGTTGATTTCATAAGTTCTTATGGATTTCACATACGACTTCTGAGATTTCACAACATCTTCTCGATATCTTAAGGTGCTACTTGATTTATATTTCTTGATCGGTTTTTGATTATTGGTCGATTTATGTATCTTAATTCTTGGTCGATTATGTCTCTTAAATGAACTTTTTCCATGCTTGACTTTTTTTTCAAGTGTCTACAATGAATTATGTTTCTGATTTCCTAAATTTATTATGTTTCATATTTCTTGAATGAATTTTGTTTCTTGATGACTTCTTATTCTTGTTTCTTAATGGCTTTGATCCGTGAACGATTTATTATTAGTTGTTGTGTGAGTTATGTTTTTTAACAAAAACAATAAACCCTTTTGGCGTGTGATGTCTTTTTAAAATTAAAAACCTTTCCTTAGTATTTCTTATAATAATTACATTTGTAGATATTGATAATACAAGCTCTTAGTAATAGAATGACAAATAGAATTATGTCTCTAAAAGTGAACAAAAATTTAAAATTCTAATATGATTTTGTGTATATATAGATGATATGATCACCTTTCTATCAACGAATTGTAAGAAATAGACAAACTCTTATCACATCTGTCGTAAGAGAAATTTATGCAATGTATGTTATGATTCTTTGTAGTATTTTTAGAATCATTAAAACATCTTGTAAAGGAATAGTAATCTGTTAATTTTATGTTTTTCTTGTAGCATCATAAAGGCGATGCATGTTTTGTAATAAACCATTTCCACACTACAATAATCTGCATAAAATCTTCAGTAATAATAGAGCTAATGGTAATGGAGCTATTGATTTTGGAGAAGATGTAATTGAAAAGACATAAAGAAACTCACCTATTGATGCCGAGGGGTTAGGAGATATCGTTGAAGAGTCACAACCAACTACTAGTCTCATTAGTAAACGTAAAAGAACAAAAACTGATGACGTCGAAAGCTATTATAAGGAAGCAACAAAAGAAATGAAAAACACTTCAAGGAGTTTTGGTGATAAACTTACGGAGACAATAAACAATATAGCAAGGCAAGAAAATAAGTAAGCATTGATATGATAAATAAATTTATTGAAGATATATAACGTTTGTCAAATATTAATGTCAAACAACAAATTAAAGCGATTATCATATTCAACAAAGATTATCATGTGCTCGATCTGTAACACCCGTTCCTCAAGTAGCTTTCTTCATGTTAATAAAACTTATTATTTTTCTGGGCATTATGGTTATACGTGGGACGTAGATGGTTAATTACGCATGGCATAATTCATTAAACCCATGCGAGGGTTTTATGCCTTACGCGGAGCATAACTCTAGGTACGCATGGCGTAAATACGCATGGTCCAAACCCTAATTTTCGGGGTTTTGATCCCTATTTAAGGACTCTAACCCCTTGAGGCCCTTATCATCAGCCTCCACCCTCTTTGACACTCAACTCAAAACCCTAATCCTCTTGAGCTAGATTTGAGCCTCTTGTGTGTTTTGTGGTGCATTTTGAAGAAGGAGAAGCCCATCTTTGAAGCTTGGTGAAGCCCAAGCTTGTAGATCCAACGTCTTCATTTCATTTTCCAACTCCAGAAGGTATAAAGTTTTCACCATGTTGGTTCATTGAGTTAGATCTTGTTAGCTTCTAAGTTTTCATGCTTATTGTCCCATGATTCTAGTTCTTGTGAGTATGAGCTACTCCAGACCTTAGGGTTGCTATTTCTTGGTGTTCTGAGGTTGTTATGTCATAAAAATGGGATCTTGGTTGCTATCTTTCACCCATCCAAGAGTTTTTGGTCATTGGAGGATGTTATGGGACTAGGGTTTGATCTTGAGCTCCATTTAGCCATGCAAAGGCATAAAGTCAGAGACTTTATCACTTAAGACGATTACTAGGACCAAATATGAACAAAAGACGATTGGTCTTTATGGATTGAGGGCTAGAAATGGAAATGACTTAACAGCCTGGTACGTAGGGCGTAAATTGGGCTACGCCCAGCGTAGCGTGATGATTCCCCGATCCTTCCATCGAAGGCTCTATGCAACGCGTAGAGCATAATGTACGTATGGCGTAGCACTAGAAAGTCTAATTGGTCAAAATTGGACTTTTGGTCAAGATAAGTGGGATCTACTCTTGCAAGTGTAAAATGGTCTTTTACCATAGAAGGAGAAAATGTAATCAAGAACCATGATTATGGATTACCACCTTAGTTGTTAATTAGGGTTTGGTTTTGGTTATGTTTAGTGGGATGGTCTAAGCACCGACAGCTCGTGTGTGAGATCTATTCGTTTACTGATCGTGGTGAGTCTCTTCACTGTACTTGTGGGTCGAAGGCACTAATGTCGGCCCACTGGATTATGATGTAGGATGCTAGCTGTCTTTGTGACTCTTGCATGTGTATGTATGTTTTATATGGGTTGGGCCCGAATGATATGAGGTGGGCCCAAATGATATAGGGTGGGCCCGAATGTGTGGGTTGGGCCCGAAGCATGCATGTTGGGTTGGGACCGTAGTTGTTTGATATATGATATTTTGGGGGAACTCACTAAGCTTTGTGCTTACGGTTTGTGTTTAAATTGTTTTCAAGTACTCTCGGTTCAATAGGAAAGAGCTTGACATGATCACATTGCACACCCCAGAGTTTATTTCCGCAATTCCTTTTGATTTGTGATTGTTGTTTGAGAATACATTATCATACTCTGATTAACTTTTTATTGGAAACGAATGAATGTTGGCTTTTGGGCTACTCTAAAAATAAAAATTTAACCATGAATTTTTGGGACATTACACGATCACGCTCAACCTATCTCTTAGTGATTGTTGTCCAACGGAATAGCACACACCTCTCATTAGTCGATTTTCAAGAAATAAAATGATTTTTGTGAAGCCCGTTCTTCTGAAACTAACATCCTTCGCATAAGCTTTAAGAGGGTTGAAATAGAATATTGGCTTCAAGAAAAACACACATTTGTAGTGAACATCAATAATTATGAACTCTGATTCATCTGCATTGGACGAACTAGTCATTGTCATCTTCTTTGTAAGATGGTTTGAGTGTGAATTAGAGAAAGTAACCCTTATTTTCATCATGTGTGTGTAATGTTTATGCAAGTGTCAAAAAATTGGCGGGTTACAACTGTAATAGCCATGCAAGAAGACCCTAATATCTACGTAACCTTTTTACCTTTTCTATTAGCATTATTATCAAGTAAACCTACTAAAATGGGTAATCATTGCATAATTTGTACACAAATGATTGTAAATCCATAATGGTAAGAAATTGACCATTTGATATATAAAGCTACTATAGTAGATGCTCTAAGATTGTAACCCATAAACTTTTACTTTGATCCATTTATAAATTTTTTTAAACACCCTATTTAAGAAGATTGTTCTTTTCACTAACACCAGGAGTTTTATCTTTATAATAGAAAAAAAATATATAGAATTTTGACGAAATTCTTGTTAGTGTTTGTCTTTGAGTTGTAACATCCCTCCCAACAATAAACCACGTGCTACTTCAAAGTTCAAACTCCACAAGAAAACAACACATTTTGTTATAAATTAGATAATTAGAAGAGCAGTTTAACTTATAAATGTGATTATTGATCATAACAGTTTGTTCAATCAAATTCCAAGATTCCCACAAAGAACAAAGTTTTAGCCTACTAAAATCTTATCATCTTCAAATCTATATTCGTTTACATTATTTTCATGATAAGAAAAAAAAAATACAAGTTTTAGAATCGTGTGAGAATGTGTAATACAAACTCATGAATAAATTCTTGTCAAACAAAGAATCATTAGGTCTTGTAGCATCCCTTTCTCTTGTTAAATCTTGACAGAATTAATCACTAATTTCCACTGATTTTGGCATCCGTTTGGTAGTATACAATCTCCCCTTCGTCACTCACATAGTGATCCTTCTTCAAACTACTTACAAGAACTCCCAACAAGTGAAATGGAAGAGGCCAAGATTTCTTTGGCTCCCGATAATATTTCCCAAAAACTGGCTTCGCAGCTTCAGTCTGTTGAGAAAATTTCAAAATACATAAAAGTCAAGTCATTTGGGGAAAATAAAAAGTAAATTTTGATGGATGATAACGACATTTGTGACTATTCATATATATATCATTACGACCCTTTCAGACCTTTCAAAGGTCACGAACAGAACAGTTATGACAGATGTCACAATCATTATATTTCGTTCGATTAGCTTGAAAGATTTTAAAACTTTTTTGGAATCAAGAACACTAACCGCTTCTATTAGATTGTAGTGAGGGATTTGAGGGAAGAGATGGTGTATCACATGGGTTCCGATATCATGGTGAATGTTATTGATCCATCCATAGTCACGATCAAGCGTTGTTAATCCTCCTCTCAGATAACTCCATTCCTGTGGTAACCCATTTGAGAAATTCACCATTTTTGACGATGAAATACAGAACAGAAATATGGGTCGGGTCAAAGTTCAAACCTTTCCACGGTACCATGGGAGTTTATCTTCATGGCCATGGTGATGCAAGTAAGTTACTAGATCCAGCCACATCACAAAACCCTGGATTCAAAACAAGAATTAAGATTATTAGCTAGTGTGAAGAAAAAGGGAACAACACAAAGATTTCGAAGAAGATTAACTGTTTAACTTACCCAATAAGGGATGCCGTAGAGTTTAAGTAGTTGTAGAGGGCCCATCGTGAAGGACAAACCCACAAGCAGAGCAGCCATGGCTGTCCAGCACACTGTCGAGGTGATGATGTCTTTCTTTTCATTTGGGAGAAACAAATCGCTGTTGGGGTCGAAATGTGAGCCCTTTTTTCCTGGGCTTCGACTCCACTGTTAATTTTTAAACATATCTGTCAATTACCAAAATGAATAAGGCGACCCCACATGTTCATCCATCCACATGAGAGTGTTACCAGATAGAAAGGGTATGCCAGCATCGGGAATGGCAAAGTGAACCTCAATTTTCTTGTAGCATCATTCAAACTTCTGTAGATCATCTCCGATAACTGGAAAATTCATACGATTTTGTCAGAAAGTGATAATATGAATCACAATTAGTCAAAATAATGAAATTTGATAATATGAATCAAGATTATTAAGGAGATGGACTCACTGGGTGCCAAGATTCATCGTTTTCGACGTGTCCATGGTTCTGGTGATGAGTTCTATGGCTAATTCTCCTGTAACATCCACAACCCAATGATTAAAAAGACGAGAAATAAATTGAAGCAGAGACTAGAGAAAATGAAACGCACCATCCATGGTAGGGTACAAGAATGGAAGAATGAAGAAGATGACCAACTACACTATTAAGTTTTGCATTATTGGAGAAGCTTCCATGGCCGCTGAACAATGGAAGATAGATTATAATTAGAATGACAATTAACCCAAATAGAGGATTTTTTTCACACAATCGTGATTACCAATCATGGCCAAGAACAAACAGGGCCCAGAACATTGTGGACTGAGCAATCCAATAAAGTGGCCAAACGACGATATTATTGAAATACGCCGCCACCGCCGCCAACCCAAAAACCACCGCCACATCTCGTAAGACATAACTCATTGACCTCCATGGATCCTTCACCCAACAATGCTTGGGAATGGAGGCTCTAATATCGGCCAATGTGAACGGTGGTGGTGCACTAGGATCGAACTCAGTGGCTATTTCTCTTTCGTCTTCATCTAAAAACGGAATTGTAACTGGTGCACTCACCTTCAATGCCCAATTCTTGTCTTTACACATTCTTGAAAATGAGGACGAGATTGTGATTGACTTAGTGGTGTTGAATAGTGTAACGCCAATGGAATCGGAATTGGTATTAAAGAAAGAACTGGATACTCCGGTTCGTGGCTTGGGGAAGAATGTTGGAATTGGTCTTACACCACATTCTGATAAGACCCAAGCCGCCATTGGAGATACCCAGATGATAAAAAAAATTGAAATGTATAGCTTATCTCTCTCTAGAGAGAGAAGAGGTGAGTGTGTTGTCTAAAATCAATTGTTATGAAGGTGTTTCTGATGATCATTGGGGGATGAGGATATGAAATACAAGGGCTTTTTTACTCCACGTCCCTCAATTTTAGATTCTTATGAGATACACAGTAGTTCCACTACCATGCAAAAAAAAAAAATTTTAACTTTTTAATCATATACACCAACGCAATATCATAATTATTTAAAGGACGTAACTTGTACCGGCTGAAAGTTGAAGTTAGACAAAACTGCAAAAATGTTCTTTTGATCAGCTGATTTTGGATCAAAAAAGTTTGGACAAGTCCTAAACTTTTCATTTTGTTGTGATTTTGGTTCAATTTATTTTAAAAATTTTTATACGAAAATTTTACCCTTATTTTTTTTTCAGTTTCTTTTTATTTATTTAAATATTTTTCTGATTAAAAAAAAATACGCCCTCTCTCTTTCACACATAACAATCACACACACTTATGTTCGATAAGACATTTTCAGAAAAAACCTAACTTTAGGCTAACATAAGTGGTCACCGCCAACCCACTAGAAAAATATTGTCAACTCAATGTCACGTCAGTTCCACTATAAGCTTACTATCAAACCACTAGTATTTTGAAATGATTATCAATCCACATTATTTATTTATTTATTTATTTATTTATTTAGATATTAAATTAAATAAAAAAAATAATAATTTAAAACATAAAGCTTAGCCAATCACATGCGCCGTCTTCGTCCGTCTCTATGGCCAATCCACAGCCAACTCACCGGAACTCGGGGCGGTGTTCACGCGTGGCTTAGTGTGCCACGTAGGAACCCACATGTGGGTTTCTTCCCCATTCTGGATAACCTTACCATTTCTCTTCTCTTTTTCTCTATAACCCACCTCCATTTTTGTCTAAAGCTTCAACTTTTTTCTTCAGAAAAATGATTACCACGACATGGGTTTCTCTTGGGGTTTTATCAAATAATTTTTTTTAGCTAAGACTCATCCAGATCTTCAAAATCGAAATGTGTTTGTTTCCTCCTTTAAAAATCAAAACTTTCTTGAACCCCCTCTGAAAACCCCGAAGAAAGATAGCTTTGTTAAGCAAACCCATTACTTTTCTACCAAAAATTTGTAAAACCCTTCGTTCATTCCTTTTAAAAATCATTCGTTCTAAAAACCTAACCAGTAACCAATATACTTTTGGATCAAAACAGATTAGAGGCCAGGGGAACGTTACAGATTAGCATTTCCTCATAAAACCCTTCTACCTATCAAGATTAGAGGCAAGAGCAGCCAAATCGACCTCATAATGGATATTCATAGCAGCGACGACGAGGGCTTTCAGATCTTCTTGTACGGTGGACAGGTATCGATTGCTATGCCATAACTCATTGATTACTAAAGGTTTCGATGCTTTTTTGTAGATTCCGACGGAATCATCGGCGCTGATCTTTTTCAGAGCACACACGTCTTCACCGACGGGTGTTTCAACACAGAGAGATTTTGATTTTTTTTAAGGAATCTACCTGAGGTGTGGTTAGCTCCGACGAGGGTTGAATTGAGGAGTGAGGAGTGATGGAAATAGTTCATTTCAGATGGGTTTTTGCAAAAAAAAAATTATGGGGACTCGTTCTTCATCAGTGAAATTGATTTTATTTTGGGTTTGGAGATGCTCTGGATGAAGATACAGAGAGAGGGTATTTTTTTCTATTATAAAAATAAAATAGAAAAGATAATTTTCTTTTTATTTTTTTTAATCAGAAAAATATTTAAATAAATAAAAAAACTGAAAAAGAAAAAAGTAAGGGCAAAATCGTCATTATAAGAAAGTTCAAAACAAGTTAGACCAAACTCACAACAAAATGAAAAGTTTGGACATCTACTGCTAGTCCAAACATGTTTTGTAACAACCGGTTATTTCGGGTCAATAAACGTCAAACAAGTTAAACCAAAGTCAAAGCAAGTCAACTACGTCAAACAAAAGTCAAATAATTAAAAATTGTTTGATTTAACAATGAAAATTCAAATTGCTTTATGGGTTTTCGGTATTAGGAATCAATAAGCACAAAAACCGAAATCCCTTTGTGAAATAATTAGGGACCGAGATCTAAGCCTTGGACCGAAAACCACCCACCGAAAACACTACTCGGCCGAGAACCTCTTGACCGAAATCCCTTAGACCGAGAACCCTCTTGACCGAAGTCCTTGAGGTTCTCGGTGGGAACCTTGGCCGAAAACAAGGATAAGCTCGATTCATAGCCATTATCAAAGACTTATCATTATTCCACTCATAAACCTTATGGCAGAAATATGCCACCACGTAAATCAAACAGGCGTTTCAACAACACACCACCAACTCCACCACCGCCACCGCCTAAGCAGACGGACACTGCTATTTTCCAAGTTGTTGTAACGGCAGCTGTGGCAGCCGTCATGGCGCAAATCAGCACGAATGGCGCCAGTGGGTCAGGAGGCGGTACCAATAATGCTAGCCAGGGAGATAGTCAGGGACATCCGAGGGAATGTTCCTACAAGGACTTCATGAATGCCAGACCAAAGTGTTTTGATGGAACCGGATGTGTCATTGCTCTAACACGTTGGTTCGAGAAGACAGAATCGGTGTTCGAAATTTGCGCATGCCCTGAAGCTAGCAATGTCAAATTTGCAGCATGCACATTCATGGATAGAGCCCTTTCTTGGTGGAACGGTTATGTCAAGTCATTGACTCTCCCAGTAGCCAACGCCATGAGTTAGGAAGACTTAAAAGTTCTGATGTTAGCAGAATACTGCCCGAGGGGCGAAGTGCAAAAGTTAGAGCAAGAACTCCGGGGTCTGACGATGAAGGACTCTGACATTGCAGCTTACACCGCCAGATTTAGCGACCTAGCAATGCTATGTCCCGGGATGGTCACCCCGGAGAGTAAAAAGGTGGAGCGATACATCTGGGGACTATCTCCCCAGATCCAAGGAAACGTGATAGCTGCAAACCCACTTACTTTTGACAGTGCCAAGCATCTAACACAAACACTGGTGGATCATGGAGTCCGTCGGGGCTTCATGACAGCCATTCCCGAGCAACCCAAAGAAAGTGGCAACAAAAAGAAGTTTTGGAATAAAAGGAAGGGTCGGTCATCGCAAGAGCCCACAAAGAAGTAAAAAATTGTGGCAGTTCACGCTGCTACTGTTCCTACCGCTCCAGCACCCACCAAACCCTATGTTGGAACTCTTCCAAAATGCAACAAGTGCAGCTTTCATCATTATGGAGTCTGTCGAGAGATGCACTGCAATAATTGCAATAGGAAGGGGCACACTGCCTGTTTCTGTAAGGTTCTGGCACAACAAACCACTAATGCTGGAATAAGCCAGGCTTGCTACAGATGTGGTGAAACAGGGCATTTCAAAAGGGATTGCCCAAAAGCGAGGAATGCTAGAGGTATGGGCAGAGTTTTAACGATGGGACAGGAGGAGGCAGTGAATGATCCTACCGTGGTTACCGGTACGTTCCTCCTCAACAATTCATATGCATGCATTCTTTTTGATAGTGGTGCGGAGAGAAGTTTTGTAAGCCATAAATTTAAACACTTACTTAAACAAAATCCCCAATCACTAAAAGACACATTCACCGTAGAAATGGCGAACGGAAAGGCAGAGAGCGCTAACGATATATACATAGGATGTACCCTCACTCTAAACAACTACTCTTTCCAAATCTACCTGATGACGGTCACAATAAAAAGTTTCGACGTCATCATTGGCATGGATTGGTTGAGTCCTCACCATGTCGATATCCTGTGTTACGAAAAATCCATTCGCCTTAATCTGCCAAGTAGCGAAACCCTTGTCATTTATGGTGACAAACCCGACACGAACCTTCAAATCATTTCTTGCGTCAAGGCTCAAAAGTATCTTCGTAAAGAATACTATGCCTTCTTAGCTCACGTAGTAGATAAGAAACAGGAAGTGAAAGACATCAAAGACTGATAGGTTTTAAGCAGTATACATCCCTATGGTGCACATACAACCCTAAATGTTTTGAATCTAAGTTTTCTCAAGTTACACATGCAATTTCATTTTCCAAAGCACAAGCCCTAACTAACATGCAATTTGAGATACATAACATAAAAAAACAGGTTAGATGAATACATCTTGTGTAGCTAGTGATATTTGTCCTTTCAAGAGCTTAGTACCTCAAGTGTGATACCTCTAATGGAGTCACAAAACACCATGAACAAATGGAGGATAAAGAGAGAGAGGCTAGGAGGTACACAAAACGGCTAGGGTTCTTCTTTGAACTCTTAGGGGCCATTTTGGCGGTGCTAGGGGTTACATTTATAGTATAAAATTCCTAGGGTTTCAACTTGTAAACCATAATTCACTTCCTTGGGCTTTTAATCCAATAATCCATATGATAAGCCCTTTGGACTAACACTTCACGGACTCCCATATAGAATGAGTCCATCCTAATCAACATGGATCATTGGCCCAAATTATATGTATTACTGATTTACCTAATCAGTCCCCGTTAATTTAATTAGTCTCTTTTGATCACTAAATTAATTCCAAATTAATTCATGATCAATACCAATTAAATAATATGATTTCTCAATTAATATATTATTCTTATAATATATTAATAAATCATAAATAACCTCTTTCTCAAATATCCATCCTATCAAATTGCCTTGGTGAATGCAATCCAAAAGGACCATGCTACTATCGGGTCAAGTACATACCAATTATAGTTATGGGCTTAGACACCTAATCCAACAGTCTCCCACTTGGATAAGTCTAATAACTATAACTGCAAGTACGACTTCAAAAAACTGACTAGCAATCGTAGCTCTCAAAAGCCGATGTCAACTATGATTAATAACGTGTCCTTTAGATAATGGATCAAATATTCCTTCGTTCTACAAGATATCTTATAGACATGAGATATGGATTATAATCATTCTCTATGTCCAAGTTCTGTTTCCCGATTTCCGATTTATGATGACTGACTAATTGAACAAATCAAATCAGTCCAGGCTTGGCCAAGCGCTTAGGGTGTC